CATTAGATTATTAACTCCTTGTATTTTAGAATTATCCTAAAGTTTTTGTTCATCAATTGATGATAATGTGTCATACTGGTACATTTTCTGATTTCTAGAAATATATTATACTTGACCGAATCCAGTGTTCGGCAAGCTTGGAAAGTGGTGAAGATGACGGTAAAAGTTTCTTTGCCATATTGAATATGGTTAATTATTATAATTTATAACCTCGTAGTTTCTGATTATTCTTCATGATCTGGTTCCCGGTAGGATTGATGATCATGTTACATAATATTATATTATAAGTATTTTATAAGTTAACTAAATTATTAATTCAAAGAATATTTATTTATTTATTGTGTTTGAAATCATTGTAGGTATAAACATATTGTTATTACATAAAGGAATAATCAATTAATTAATTTTAATGATAACCTGGTAAGGATATTATCTATAAATATAAATATTGAAGCTTACTTATTATTTTTCAAATTAATTGGAAAGAGCCAAGTTTTTACAATGGATTATTCTTACTAGTTAAGATATTAACTCAGTTTGAACTCAAAAAAAAAAAAATAGTTGTTCTTGTTCATCCTAAAAAAAAAAATGAGAAAGCACATAGCGATCTGGTTTAGAATATCGGACGAGATACTTATTTTAATTATTCACAACATAATATATTCAACCAAAAGTTAATTCTATTATTGTGTTCAAAAAGTCTAAATTAAAAGCACTTTGAAGTTACTGAGTAATTTTGTAGTCCAGTCTTAATTATCATTAGTTATTATTTTATAACAACTTAAATTGTATTCTTTTGTTTATAATTAAATCAGTCTAAGTACCTATCTATACTACTATGAACATTTTTGCTTAGTAATTCAAAGATCGTTACCAAATGTTTGTATAAAATATATTTCAGTTGTAATGATACTTGAGGAACTTGAATAAAATATAAATCGAATTAGATTGTCAAAGAAAAATACTTGTCACTGTAGTTGGTGTTATAATTTTACAATGTATTGTATTTTAAAAAATTCCGAAAATCTCAAAATAACAGTTTTAATTCATTTATAAGTTGCAAATATAATAGTAACTGTTTTAATCGTTTTATATTTATGCTTGAACAACAAGTCGCAATGCAGTGTATTTCACTATCATTGTTTTCAAATTTAAAGATGTTACTCGGTAGTTTTTATTTAATTTTTTTATCCTACTTTATTACTCTACACCAACTATTTTTGAAGCGTCTTAATAATAACTTTGAACACCATCATGATCACATATCTTTCATCTCCCGTTAATGCCATAATATTTGTTTTTTCATTGTATAATAATTAATCATTGTGAGAGATTCAAAACAAATTTGTTATAAACACCTTGCTTTACAAAAATAATCACCTGCCATTCATCAAAATATCATAATATACCTAGTATTAAAGTGTTATTGATTCAAGCGTTCTTTTATATAATCATATTTCATTTACTTAGATAACTATTGCATATGCTGTGAAAAATTTAGATTTTTATAAAATTATTATATAAAGATTTACTGTAGATAATATTTTAAGACTCATTATTATAAAATGTAGAATTTAATTTGACATTTAAAAATAAATATTACGAAATAATGAATTGGATTTTCATACGTCCAATTTTCATACATAGGTACCTAATATACGAACTACATTCGTACGGTGTACAAAATATACCTCATATGCACAGGCGCAATTAGAGTAAAAAATTTGGAGGGGCTTCAGTCCCTCCATATATTTCTCAATCACTGCCTCTCAGAAACTTTTTTTCCACCCTTCCCCATCTATAAAAAATGCGCTTTTTTAAGGTTATCAGGATTATCAAGTTCGGACACTCTCATAACAAGGTCCGAGAATATAAGCTATAATATAAAATATAGTTGGGGTTTGGGGAAAACATTTTATCGAAGTAATATTATAATAGTAATATCTTAGCCGTCCGATGAGTGTTACTAGCAAACGGCTTGCGGCGTAGTAGAATCTTTTTGACCTTATATGATCTGAAGCGAGTGTTAAGAACAGTTCGTCTTCTATTATTTATATGTCTTATGCAATATTAGTATACTATATCATCACTTTTTCATCACTAGATGATCACTATCAACACCCATGGTGCAGCAAAATGATGACGATAAAATATGTCTTTCATCCATGGTCACAGAGAACCAACCACAGGACGAGGACCAACAGGAGGTATATTATGGGTAGCTTGGGGGATCCGAGTCACCAATGCTTTAAGTAGGTAACCGATTAGTAATTTCAATCGTAAAACCGTTCAGTTTGTTCTGAATAGTGTCTATTAATAGTGTGCCTTAAGCCAGATTCACAGTTTTTCATAGTGTCGTGTCATGCGAAGGCGTGGTAGCTAAGGTTACAGACGGTAACCAATATGGTTTAAAAGTTGAGTTGTAGTCAATGCTTAGTATACTTGGATATTTCGCGATACCAAAAATGTCATGTCCAATCACAGTACGAGTTGATCGACACGGGAGACGACAAACGATGGAGCTGTGAATCCGGCTTTAGGGAGTAGGGATAAACAACAAAACTGCTATTTAAGCGCTCATACAACGCGCAGACCTCCGTATTTAGGTCACGGCTAAGATTTAAGGGCAGACACATGATATATAATAATAAAAACTATATAACATAAAGCTCGAACATAATATTTATTATTGAAATAGTGCGCAATGGACATATTGTTATAATATAAAGGTAAACTATAAAATATGATAAATTCTTATCGGGCGACGACGCTTTGAAACGGTCAACAGAAAACATGAGGACCCGAAGATTTGCGAAAGGCGGCCACACGAATTCAAAGGGCACGCACAGCTCGGCCGGGGCCTAACACCTACACTCAAGGAGGGTGTCGATATTGTCGACGCAAAATGACACGCAGCTGCACTTACTACCTAAGTGTACATGTCGTTATCGACGATGACGATACCACAAGCGTACCGATCGGTGTATACAGCTCGTCCGAGATTATTATCAGTAGGCCGTTTGGCAAAAAAAAAGGTTCAAAAAGGGTCATGGCGTATCTGCGCCCGAGAGTAACTTTTTAGACAGCCCAGTTGCGTCCGGACATAAATAAAGCATAAGCCTACCGAAAATCAAGTATTACAGACTATTATATTATACGTTTACAACACAATGGAATAACTATCATTACAAATGTATATTATAACACCGTGCAAAATGCTTTGTGTTATTTTGAATCGGTCATTAAATACGATATGTCTATCAGATGCGATATCAGGTGTTGGTTTTCAAAGGCATTCTACAGTTTTGTAAATAGGGCTCGGAAATCGTATGGCCACCACCGGACATCGCCTTGTGGGTGCGTAATCAAACAAACACGCTATAATAATAATATTATTATCTTTCGTGCGTAAATCCTGATGATATTCTATCGTTAGTCGCAGACATAACAATTTACACATACACCAATCATATAATATAAATAATATTATTATTGTAAATTTGCAACACGCGTAAATAGATAATATTTATGGACGCGATTCGGTCACGATTATTATGGCAGGTAAGAAGAATATACTATTGGTATTACCATATTGGTCGAGTAGAAAAGTGGTAAATATCTTATTTGGTGGAAACGATCGTAGGTGGAAAAGAAGAAGGTACTAATTTGGTGGAAATAACAGGACGCAAGGTGCCTGTTTTACTACTTGCAAGATATACATTTTCGCAGGGCTTGAAACCGATTGCAAAGAATTTTAATTTCAATTTCGATTTTGTATACTAGTTTTTATTTTTTTCGATTTTGGTTAATTTTTCAAAACCGGTATTAGGAATTTTTGGTTTTGGTTTCGGTTTTGTATACTGATTTCCAATTTTTTTTCGGTTTTCGATTTTTAAATGGCTTGTACCGGTTTCTAAAATCGGTTTCAAGGCCTGGATTATTTACGTTCATTCTTAGTATATTAATTTATTTGAATCACGGGAACGCGCGTTCGAATCGCCTTTTGTGTAACGTAAACTTTCTAAAATGTTCAAGATATTAAAGATTTTCAAAAATTAGTATAGTTTTAGTGGTTTCACAATGGTGTTTATCTATTTTTTTTTATCCTGTTCACAACATTTCTGCCAGAAAGAGTGCTTCGATTTCAACATATAGTATCTTATCTTTTAGAAAATTGGATCAAGATGGTACTTTAGAGAGATCATTTTTCGATTTTCTCAATAATTATTTAATTTTACAGGAAAAACCACCGATAAATTACAAAATCCGCTAAAAATGGGATTTTAATTTCTAATGCTTTTTGTATCACCATAGAAACGAAAAATAAAAATAACGATTTTAGTTAGGTATTTTGTTGTAATTTATAATATTGATTTAACTTACAGGCTATAATAAAATATAATAACAATATAAAATATCCAGACTGACAAACCGTCTATGCTCGGAATCGTTTTTCGTATACAATGATATGATATCATTGAATTAAAATTTAATATAAGCCATTGTACAGAGACCCACTTGTAACCCACTGTACAGCAGAGCGACTTCCACTTACCCGCTTTTTTAAATTATATTTTCTGATTAGGTTTTAAATTTTAATACAGGTTTTCCAATTTTTTCCGGTTATTGTTTTCAGTTATAATACCGGTTTCAAATTTTTTTCGGTTTCGGTTTTAGAAATTCCGGTATCAAATTTTTTTTGGTTTCGGTTTTGATTTTGTTTTGGGTTTCGGGTTTTTAAACGGTTTATACCAGTTTTCAATGTAGTATGCAGTCGTACCGATAACTGTGGTTGGGGGAGGGGGGGCACGACAAAAAGGTGCGGCACAAAACTACACGACGAGCGCCGGGGCGGTACGTGTCGAACGAGCACTGACGGCCGCATAGTGCAAACACTTCGTCCCACGTGGACGGAAAAAAGACTCGACCTGCTCACCGAACTGTATTGCCAAGTCGTGCATCGAACTCACCCGTCTGCTCAGCAGCGGACTTCCCACATCTTAGGCACTTCCGCTACAACAGAAACTGGGTGACGAGACGGATCCTAGCTCTGGGCGTTCTGCGGCGACAGGTGTCATCGTTACTGCCTCGTTGATCATTCCAATACAGTAGCGGGATATCGAACTTTTATAATTCGCTACGATGACTATGGCGGTTTGACTTGCTTGCAGGCCACTCGACCGACTTCTTCTCCGGCGTCGATGAGTCAGCAGAGGGCGGTGGATCCGTCGAAACGTCTGGCAACTCAGCCGTATATAGGCGGCAGAAGTTCTCTGATGCACCACCATGTTAGGCATCTGCAGGCTAAGTTCTCTGTTCGGTCGTGTACTCTCGAGGCTACGACTTTCTAACGCCTTCGGATGGTTTGTCCGGAGCTATGCGAAAACCCGGAGGATAACATCGGTGGCTGATGGCAACCCGTAATAAATTATCACCCGTGTTCGTTTTAACAAGTAAATAGGTAACAGAATCTAATTAAATATATTTCAATCACTTATGTTAGATACTCATAGAAACAAGATGTGTATAGTTTTCGTGTATCGGGAATAAATATTATTATATTATTCATTATTTAATATGTTCATTTTAAAATAAAAAAAGCGGGTAAGGGGATGTCACTCTGCTGTACAGTAGATTACAAGTGGGTCATTGTATAATGGATTGTATTAAACTTGAATTCAATGATATTCTATCACTATATAAGAAAAACAATTCTGAGCGGAGACGGTTTGTCAGTCTGGATATTTTATATTGTCATTAATTATTATATCATGTAAGTTGAATTAATATTATAATATTATTTTTTTTTTATATTCGTTTCTATGGTAATAAACAAAGCGTTAGAAATTAAAATCCAATTTTTAGCGATTTTTCGTAATTTTTCGGTGGTTTTTACCGTGGCATTTAAAAATGACCTATCTAAAGTACCATCTTGATTAAATTTTCTAAGGGTAAGGTACTATATGTTGAAATCAAAGAACTCCTTCTGGTATAAAGTTTGTATACAGGATGTAAAAAGAAAAAAGAAAAGAAAATAAACACCATTGTAAAACCACTAGATTCCTAGCTTCACTCAGAATCTAAATCAGAATCTAAAAAACTGTTCAGAAGAATTAAACCAACTACTGGTTTCTAAGACACGCGTTTGTTTTAATATTATACTAAAATTACATAGGTACACAATTTAACACCCTTTTATATTTTTGTATCTATACTTTTTAAAATCGGCTAGTATGAGTCTATGTTAAACACTCATATTGTGATATTTTTAATACCGGATAGCATACATTTACTTAGAAGTTTTAATAGAATTTTTATTAAACCATTTATTTGTTTAACTGTTGATAGTTATGAAAATATTTACACGGGATAGATATGATAAACATTTTACAAAGAAAAAGACTCAACAGTTAAAAAATCATTTTTATGAAAATAAATAGTTCCTCGTGACGTTAATTTTGAGTCTATTATTCTCAGGCTTACAAAGTATTTTAAGATTTTATTTAGTTGTTAAGTCAATTTTGGATCCTTTAAGACAAGTTTTTAGTTTATTATTTTTCAAAAGAAAAAAAATTCACCTGAAATGTAGAAAAAAATTTCGTATTTTTAGAAAGTTCAATGGATATTCTATTTACAATGGTATATCCTCACAAGATATCCTGTCTAATATATTGATTATTGAATAATATATTTATGTATGTTATATAAACTGATAAGATACCTACTTTGTTGGAATAGTATTTCCAATAGTTCAATTGTAATTGCGTATAATAAATGATAATTCTTAAATTTAGTGAAAGTTTAAAAAGCAATTATTAATTAATATAATACAATACGATACAGTATTATTTATTTTAATTGGTCTATTTATTAGGTATATTATTTTTATAAACGTATACTTACACACTATTGTCTATAATTATAAAAATAATTTGTGATCAGATAATATATTTTAGAATACTTTACAATATTCCAACTAAAAATTGCTTAAACATTATAAAGATTATAATTATTATATTTTTTATCTTACATTTGTTTTAATAATTTATACCCTGTAAACAATACTTCAACTATATAGCAAATTATTTAGAGTATAATCTTAGTGCGGCTAAATCTTCCAAAGAATTTTAGTATAGGATTTAGTCTTGTCACATATATATTACAAATATTTTGGTTAGTGGCAATAAACTTTAGAGGGGGGCTTTGCACCCTAAGCCCCCTCAAAAGTTGCGGTTTTTGTTTTATAAGTGGTGGGTGTCTAAATTTTGTTGGCCTCAAAGGTAAAAAGAAGTTCAATACGCCCATGGATAAATCTTTGTTTACGTAAGATATTATCAACCAACACTAGATATATCAAATAAAAACAGGATGTATGACCGGAATAGTTACAGAGAAGATTTTGGTAGAACTCAGAATTAAAAGAAATTACAGAAATACAGACAGGAAACTTACAAAAGTTGGGCATATTACAATTACGAAATTAATAGTATCGATAAAATTAGGCACTTATTACACAATTTACACAACTCACAGATGTTATGAAACGGGACATTATACAGACATTTACAGTATAATAATAAAAATTTTAAAAAAATGTGAAATGATTCCGTGATAAAAAGTAGAGAAATATATCGCTAATCCTACACTAGCCAACTCGAGAAAATAATAATTATATATTATTTATACAAATAATTTAAAATTAAACGATGTTAAGAAGCCGCTCATAAAATCTAACATAAAACATAAGACATTACGTAATTTCCTAATTTTCTCTAGTATTCCATCAGTCAATATTTTTACTTGCCTTTGAGTCGACTTACTATCGATACCATTTTTTGAAAATAACGATTAATGTTATGATTGGAACTAAAATAGTAGAAATTACTTTAAAAAAATTATTGGGTTGAGTCAAGTGTTAAGCAAGTTGAGTGTATTGCTGTACCTACCTCATTTACTATTTTACAGTTAAATTTTGGTGCCGAAAAAAATGAAATTAAAATTACTGAAAAATGTGTGGTGTATTTTAAAATGCCCTAAAAAATAAAATAATGTTTTCACGAAGAAATATTAATGGAGAAAACACTAAACGTAGGTATACACTTTCGTACATATTAATCTTTCCACTAATTTGAATTTAGTTGACTTTTTTATTATATTTTCCTTCGTAGTCCTTAATAATTTATAATTTTTCTAATTTCTGTCATGAAAGATTATTTTTATGAAACAATTTCATTTTAAATATTTTATGCTTCCGTCTACCTATATAATATTTTGTATTTGTATATATTATGCATAATATGTATTGCAAAAAATTAGAAACGTTTTGCTCCTAGCGCGTCCTGCATAGTATTATAATTTGGCCGGGTCACCTCACTAAGGATCTATCTAAATCGCCTACCAGTTTTTACAATTTCTATCATAATATATTCTCGAATGTTTTGCACATATGGACAATAATTTGTCTGAACTACCGATGTTTATCAACCAAATGTTCCAAATAAATGTTGATTGTACATTTTATTTTACGTGATACGTATACGCGTATGATGTATTCATTTTTTGTATTATCAACAATAATTGTGTTCTCATAATACCCATTCTATCAGTATCTAAACACATATTTAATTTACAACATTTCGATGATGTCTAGATGGGTATGATATTAAATAATATCACAAAAATCATTTATGATGAACATTATCACATTCGAGTGTTTGAAAGAAATATCAAGTTGTATTTTCACTGATCCTGCAGATAAACTCTTTTGTGTTGTGTGACTTATGTCGCTAGATGTGTTTTGATCCTTAATTTAAATGAAGCTTAATGAATAAAATTAATTAAAGAAACAAATTATCTGGATAGTGCTTGGTGTAATGCCAACAATTTTGAAATTCCCATTGTATTCACTGTACATACATACCTACTTACATCTATGTGCAATGTAATTAATCAGATTATAGTTAATTTATTTTTTTAACTTAGGTACATCATAAATAATGAATATTTTGTCATTGAATTGTTATATACTGAATTTATAATAAATCATAACACACTTATTTTAATTAAAAAAAAAAAAAAAAAACATTCAACGATTCAAGTAAGGTTGAAATTGTATAAACACAATATATTTAATTTACAATTTAAATTTAAAAATCTTTGACAAAAATAAATAAACTACAATAATTATTAGGAATTTTTTTTTGTAGCCCCATGTGTTGATTATTAGTTGACATTTTTTAACTTACATCATAAATAATGAATATTTCGTCATCGATTTTCGAAATGTTGAATTTATAACAGTCATAATATATTTATTTTAGTATACAAAAAGAAAAAAAACATTTAACTAATAGGTTGAAAATATATAAACACAAATTTAATTTTCAGTTTAAATTTAACAAGTCTTTAACAAAAATAAATAAACTACAATAATAATTATTCAGAACATTTTTTGAAGGTCCCTGGTTTATTAATAAACAGTTTCAATATAATGCCACAAAAATACCATACCACAAAATATTATATCTATAGAGTATTAGAAACAGCAAGTCATGTAAACAAAAACAACCTTACGTCGACTGAAGCCACTCCAAATTATCTTTCTATCTGACCCAGAAACGTAAATAACTTATATAGACAATCAAATATTTATACATGTTAAGAACTCTCTAATGACATTATGTACGTTGAAACTATTGAGGTATTAAATTAAAAAATTATAATGCTCAACTTAACCAGTATTGTTGGTTTCGTTCTTGCTTTTTTTCAATTTTTTTTTCAAACGATTATTCAAAATTTCAAAAAATTACATACAAATTATACAAGCTATACGATTTACAGTATACAACTACCACAGTATGCACTACCAGCAACCAAAAATCAATTTTTCGATGAAAACGATTTATCATTATCCACTGGTGACAAAAAAAAAAAAAAAACGTAGTACTTACACCGGTGGTTGATGACAAGCAACGAAGAGTGAAACCGAATATGCACTACATTCAGTCAGTTCTGTATCATGTCTCAATGCCCATAATTTATTTTTAAATTAAGGAAAATATTTTGGTGAATTAAAAATGTAGGTAATTGTCTACCGCTATATTATAGAACCCAATAGTCTTTGATAGTTATCGTAGACATAATAAATTATTATTAATAATCATATTGATCATTCGCGGTTGTCGAATAAAGGTTGCTTCCTACTCAAATGTTTGAACATTTTAAAATGATATCTTAATAGTTCACGATTACGAAAGTCATAGTTTATTATTATATTTTATTACCTACC